TATATATATATAGGGAATGGAGAGAGAGCTATTTTAGATAATGGCCCATATCCGACAAATGTTTAGTAAGTGTTGCCTTTGAAGCTGTAAATAATTCATCGAGTATTGCAACCAATCCATGGTTGGATTTCGTTTGAGAATTAATCGCTTCTGTTCTGGGAAACAGTCGCAGAAAGTACTCTTGCCTTAAATAACTTACATGTCGTCCTTCGATAAGTATGCATGACTGACTTCCTCTTCCATGGAGGTCAGTGCACTAACTATTCATAATCAGTCGCTGACACGATTGGGGGTCCGTGTAATAGATACTGATTTGTGTTTAAGTTACACATGGAACACAGCTAGTCTCGGTGGAGATCGAATCAGTGAACCGAAGTTTAAACCTCGCATACAGTTAGTGGACTGTTTTCAAGGAATATACAATAGTTGACCAATTCTGACAACCACGACACCTTTTGTGTTTCCGTGTTCTCTTGTCTCCAACTAGAACACTTACGCATCAAATCTAATGCTTACAATCTTCCCTAAAGACTGGGGTGACTAGGTGTGAAGCAGTACTCACTGCATTGAGTTAAATTCCGGTAGCAGTTGAAATAACTGGGTACTAGTGCTATATCTGACTGTATGGAGATGCATCTTTTCGATCCAGATTTGCAAATTTGCACATGTCTTCCTTTTGGTACAAATATTCAACCTCAAAGTTCACATTAGATAGGTGGATCATTTTTGAAAAAAAAATCATCTTATGTATCATACCTTCCGTGATGCAATTGCAGTCGAATCATGGTTTTCCTTCATTCTGCGATCTGTGTGCAGATCTGTAGAGTTTCCCTCAAATGGCTTAAACTAAATCAATGATGAAAGCGATTGGTTTCTATATTCCATTTATCCAAGTACTTTTGTAAAAGCTTTGTCATACACATAAGATGTTAGCAACAAAACTGATCTTTGTCGATGGATGCAACCCCCTCCTGCATACACACACACATTGCTGGTACACACCCAAGTTACTCAGTTCGGATGCATTCTCATACTCGCATGCACTAGACGAATCTGGTATCTCAAATATACCACAAGTTGATTTCTGACGCGGATCTTTATAGCAGCAACCTGTTTTTAAAGTATCATCTAGGAGCTAATACGGAAGCAGTGAGAGACACCATTCTTTACCGTTTCGCACTTGTTGTACTGATCTGGCACTCAGTCAAGAAAGATTTCACTAAGAAGCAGTGTTCCACTCGAATTGATTTCTTGTCACCAACAGCTGATGTATAACTTGGTAATATTGTCGAAAACAGGAGCTATTACTGGCCAACATTCTATTAATGCTGTATTATTCGATAAAAATGAATGCCCTATTTCGTGTGCTGTTTAATCACGGAACGTGAACATGGCTTAGTTGTTGGTGTTATGTTGATACTTGCGTTTTAAAATTGAGCTAAATTAAGTTTGATCAAAACTGTAACACATCCGATTGCGTAGGCAGTGTTTCGGATGAAAGAGGTAGTTCAGAGTTTCGTTGAATCGTTGTATATGTATATGTATTTTGTGAAATCCCGGTTCTACATAACTAGGAAAAATAAAGCCTATGTGGGTAGGCATGTTCCGGATGCTCCGGTTTGGCCCAAGCACGCAAAAGCCATCAGCAATTTTATCCATTATTCGAGCTGTTTTCACGGTCATAAATTTCTTCCCTTGGTAGATAGGCTGCTGGACCATTTAGTTCACACTAAACCCATTTGCTACCACTCCCCATCCTCACCTCCACCTCATCCACGCCGAAATGAGCCCCGGAAAATTTAGAGGATAATTATACCCGCCTTCGAATTATGACATCATGCTTTCTTTCACCCAGCCATCCACCCCTGACCGGCCAGAAACATTTCTCTGTTCGATGGGGTTTCACTATCATCGCCTCCCCCCCCCCACCCCCCGTCGTCCACCGGACCGGGAAAAAGCACCTGCTTTCTCCAATTTTCCTTGAAGGAAACACCCACACACACTAATGTTCACATTCTCAGATGTGTGCACTGGTACTGTCTCTACCTCTCTCTCTCTCTGTCTACTCTCCCAGGTTGAGATGACTTACCGTTTACAGTTGCAACTGAATGAAAGATTATGGTGAAATCCCTGTACACTAACATAAAGCTTCAAAAATGATCGTACGGCGAGGAGCGTGTTCTTAACTTGTTCAAATAATTTTCCGCAAAAAATACGGCTCCCATAAAAGTGCAAACCAAGGGGAATAGATGTTCACATTCCATGATCCGGATCGAGCTGTACTCCCAGTCAGATGAACTGCGATGATTGACAACAGCCTTCTCACCACAACACACACGCACGACAGACAACGATACCACCTGTGGTTAGCGTCACTGAACAAAACAGTAACCCGCAAATCCTCCAGGTTATTTCCCGCTCCAAACAGAAAAAAACAAAACAAAAGCAATAGAGTTTACAGTCCAGGGTACTATTAGGCAAACAATTATGCCGATAGCATGTGTTCCAATAAATTCAATATTTATTGTTCTTTTTTTGTTGCTGTTGTTCAGTTTAAAGAATTTTCATCTTTCACTCAGGACCTTGAAACCGCTGTTGACCGATATCTTCATTGATAATTACAGTTACGTTTACGAAAAGGAAACTTTGATTCACCTGTTACTATAGTGCATAAAGAACGAAACGATTAGCCAAGAATTGGGGATGCAAAGTTAATGAAGTAGACGTTTTCTACTATTCACCCAAGTGCCAGGCAGCATTGAAAACGTTTCGAGCGCTGATCACTCTGGTGAACCGGCTTTTTCAACGTCTTCGATAGAGTACACTTATAAAGTTAACGGGCATTCGAGCATATGTATAACCGACTTGCCAACTACTTAGTAGATTTGGGTTGACTCTCAGAAGCATGAAGCATTTGACACATTGGTTATAGAGCTCACATTAAACTGTAACTTTTATTTGACACCACCACTGAGGCACTGTAACTGACGAACTTCGGGTCCTGAGTTTTGAGGTTCGAACCATATCACGGCCAAATAACATTGGCAGTAGGCAGCTTTGCGACCGCCAGGCTCAATATCAAGCTTAGTGTCCTGAGGCTATTTTAAGTTTGTTGATTAGAGTCCCCTGACATAGGTTACAGCTCCAAAACACAGATGACTTCATCCTGATAATACTTTACACTTGTTGACCACATCACGCGAACAAATACTATGCTCGCGATTTGGGATGCCATTGCAAACACCAATGCAGTAAAGCAAATACCAGATTTCAACTTAGTTTTCCATGGAACTAGTGAAAAGAACTCCTTTTTGCATCGATCACAATAATAGTGAACTACAAATATTTGTCACAAAACCGGTATCCCGTTCCGCTGTAACGCTATATCCACTTCCCGGATTTCGGTAACTTCTATCCATGCGAAACGGGATCACTGAAAACTGTCAATAGTACTGCAATTGATTTTAATTACTACCGGGCTAGTCTGAAGTGACTCAGTTGAGTTATTGCAGGGAAAGGTTAGTGACAAAAAGCATTTCATAGATCAGTCAAATAGAACGGCTGATGTTTAGATGGCACACGACAAAATGTGCAGATAATTGCAACCGGTGATACAAGGCTTATCAAAGAACCCGACTGATTTGGTTCTATTCTATTTGCTTTTTAGAAATAGAAAAAAATCGTTTGCCAGAAATCAGCTTGCTAAACGCCTCGGTAAAAGATAATGGCGTGCAAGGTTTGATATCAGACTGTGGTATGCGACCGAGTCGTGTACTGTGTCCGATGAACTCATAACCTGTGATCTTGGGGTGATGGAAATAACAGCATTGGTGACTGTCGTTCTCTTTCACAAATAAAATGAGATACTAGATGTGTGTGTATGAAGCAGTTCAGATATATTTTCCTTGAGTAGTTCGAATTACCACCAAGGCCGTACCGGTGAGCTTCCTCATGATGCGGAACAAGTTTTAAAGTTTGGATAGGTCTCATTCTATCCACGATCAGCTTCATTCCATACCGTCATTGGAGTGAAACCGTCTGTTTTTGAAAACCGAATTCACTGAAAAAATAATGGTAATGGATAGGCGCACAGGTTTCCACAAAGCATGAGAAATTATTGCTGAATAGGTTTTTATGCTTTCCGAGTCATTCAACGCTAAAAACATGTTTAGAGAAATGCTCCAAAGACTGGACTTCTGTTCACACGGAACAAACCCCTATCCGATGAAATGAATTACTCACTTTTCTCAAATACTCATCGACCGCATCCAGATACGGCAACCAATTGGCATTCTCCATCAAATTCCATGTGGTACGATCAATCGTCCGGTAATATATGTCCGCTGGACTGGTACTCCAAGTCTGATTGATCATCGATGATGGATCTCGTCTACCTGGGCGTGGTGACCAGCCGTTTAGTGTGACGCGATCACGTCGTGGATCTAGCCATTCTTTGTACTGTTCACCAGCCAATTGAATATACTGTGCCAGCTGGGCACTCGTCAACCAATTGATTTCGCCACATTTTGTCATTTGACCATTTAGACTTTGAAACTTTACGGGCGGGGGTGGGGTGGGGGTGAAGAGTTGGGGGAATAAACAGTGTGACGAGAGTGAGGTTGGGTGAAATGAGAAACGAAATTGGAAAACAAAATAATATTTCCGTTGAAATTATCTATCAACGTTTGTTGTTCGATTTGTAATGTTGTACTCTTGGATTACCCTATCCAACCTTCCAGCCTCCGGGAGCTTTACTTCTGAGTCAGTTGTTGGTTTCACTCAGCAATCATTCATTTACCCCACACACGGTAACGGGGTTATAATTGTGATGAAAATCGGTGTATAGAGGCTACCTAGGAGGTACTTTATTACCGGCTTTTAGATAAACCTGAAATCCCTACAATCTAAGCCAGAAACAACTAAAATGTACATGTTAAATTTCATTATGGCGGTTAAATACACCACCGGTGAACTAGCACACACTCAATATAACCAGTTATCTTTATAAAGAGCAGTATATGATTGACTGGACAAAATTCCCCAGAGGCACACGACCGGTTTCGCAGCCCTTGTAGCTCGTCAGGTGTGCGTATCCGGTAGTCTTCTGTCTGGTCATTGTTATACTTAAACCTGCAGAGCAGCAAGGACCGCGAAACCGGTCATATGCACCTGGGAAATTTTCTGCAGTCAATCATATATTACTCCTTATAAAATTACTGAAAATCGGCTCCGGCGTCGACTTGGTTGAGGTTAGACGCTTCCAACCCACAACACCGGATACAGAAACATCGCAATGTTTCTTTCGAGATCTGTTTGTCTCAAATCCACTCACCGAGCTGCAAATTGGGTTGCATAACCAGTGATCTATTGAGGTTACTAAAAATATATTAAAACTGCAGATAGCCGGATTGAATAAAGTTCCAGTCACCCAGACTCGCGGCGATAACCTAACATGTAGAATTTACAAACACTGAGGGAACAGTTCAAGCAAACCATGTCCATTTTTTGATATCCATTCTCGTTTCAAACTACTGCCCGTCTTTGTTTGCTCGCAAAGTGAAGCCAGAGGAAGGGGCAGATTATTTCGCTATTGTCTGAGGCCAAAATCAAACCGGGAAGCAGTTTATTCACAACATTATCAAAACTTCTCTCACTGACCGCCCATAATCAATCGTTTCACGCCAATCTGAACGAAAGTTGGTTGGACCAGCCAGTTCACGTCAACTCTACATAAACCCGATCACTCATGCAGAAACCTGCCCACTATGTGCACCCAGGCACCCACCCACACACACACACACACAACACTCGAGGCGCTAAAATGACGCAGTAAGTTTAAATTAATTCGGACAGTTCTCCTTATGCCTCATGCCCGTAATTCACCCTCTCCCCCCAGCACACACGCACACACCGCACCCCTCTCAATCTACTTCTGATGCATAGACATAAGGACACACGCACACACGCATCGGTTGGAACAGTACAGTCGATTGTACGAGAGGGAGAGACGTATCGGTCTGCACAGAACGTGTAAGTATGAGAAGCTTTCTCCATTCCCTCATAAAAAACGTTTTAACAATATTTTCAATTCAGTTTCGCATTCACTGATCCGTCTTTCGGTTTCCTCCATTTTTTCAAAAATCTGAATAAAACTACAAATCCAAAAGGAACAACATTGTGCAAAAATAATCATCAATTCCACGTTTACCAAACAGTGGAATGTATCCCATCACTTGTAACGGAATCTCAGTCGTGCAAGAGTTGTTTTTATTTTATTACATACATTTGTGTGCGCTGAACAGTAGATGAGGTGAAACTCTTGGTTACGAAAATCTGCTGTTCACTGATGACAACCGGTAACCTAAGCACCGGAACATAGAGTA